ATATTATTTTTATTAAGCTAAATTTAAGCATTTTTAGAACTGTCAGCTGTGTAAAATAAAGCTATTACATTTCATTCCAATGTTTCTTAGTTGCATTTATGTTAATGACCCAGTTGTAGCTGTTGTGATTTGGTCACTCTACCATAAGTGAAAAAATGCAGAACTACAGAAAATGTTTTACCTTAGTAGATCATAGGCAGGAAAATTGAATTTAGACTATACCCCATGCATAAAAAAATGTCCAAGGAGTCCATGATAGCAAATTGTGTATGGAGAGGCACTGGACATATCCTACATTTAAAAGAAGCTAAGGGAATATATAAATAAAATTCACATATAAAACAAAATAGTTCATGTAAGTTGAATACCTGAATAAAAATATGTAAGGAATCAAGAAATTTTAGCACTCTATACACTTAGAGTAACTTTGCTTTTCTGAAGCTGATCTAAACAGGACGGTATGTATATATTGTAAAGTAAGTTGTATAGTGACCAAAATATGATATCTTAGTTCACAAACACTATAATGACATAACATAAAATCACAAGCGACAGACAACTTTAACAAAGTTACTTCAATATCAAAAATACCTGTTTAAACACTGGATGAGATATTTTACGGTATACATGTTAGTTACTTAGGCTTCAATTGTTTTTAAAGAGGGAACCATGTTTAAGGAAATTCATATATGTTGGACACAAAGCATTAGAAAGAGCAGCAAGGATCATTTAATTCATTCTTAATTAATTAATGAATTAATTATAGATTCCCTTAAGAGGAAACCACCACTAGGAACCCAACTACTACTGGAATAAATTATATTCATAGCTGAAGCGCAGAGTATAGTGCAAACATTTTAAATCAGTAAGGAGATCACTATAATCCATTCTATACAGCTTCAAGGGATATCCAGCATTTTCACTGAATCTGGTTAAATCACTACCACTGATCCTGCTTATTTCTATGAAGAAAAACCAGCTGAATGGCTAGGACTATCATTAGGAATGTATGAGATGGTTCATTCCAGTTTATCTGTTCCTGTCTTCTGTAAAATAATTTTTCTTTGTGTAAATAGTGGCTTCCTATCTGCAGGCAGAGGGAAGGGGGACACGTTGGCAACAAGGCTTAATCACTTGTTAAATTAAAGTGATTCCATTAAATCCCCTTAAAATCATCTAAACTTTTAAAGCAATATTGAATGGATTGTCTTGGCTGAATGAAGTTCCATAACTGTTTAAGTGACTACATAAAAGCAAACTGTCCTTTGTCTAACGATATAAATTCTTACTGAAAGAATTAAAAAAGATGAAGACAATAAAGCAGAAAATTCTAATTTTCCATTGCACAACGCCACCATTTGTGGCTTAACATGCAAGAAAGGCTGACAATAATTTCAATAAAGAGATCAAAGAAAAGGATCTATACTTGAAAAGAACATGCAATACAGCTGTAAGGATACTCTATTTTAAGATGAAAGATTTAAAAGAAACTAAGTTCTTGCTATATATAAAACCAAAAGCAAAATGTTACGTTTTCTTAGTTTATTGGGTTTAGGCAACTGTAGCGCTCAGTATATGTTATCTGGAAAATCATGCATGCACAGCCTCTTAATGCCTTATACATTTTATCTTGCAATAATAGTTTTCATTCACAGCATACACAAATCCATACGGTAGGAAAACACCCTATTTACAATTTAGAAAGAGCTTGGTTTTGTTTTATAGTGAACAAAGTTAACAGGATTTCAACAGAGCAAAAGATATAGGTGAGATGTACAGGCTTTAAAGAAAATATTTTTTAAAAACTTAAAAAAAGAGTAAGCTACTCCATTACTTCAACTAACCTACCAATTAAGGATTTAGTTTTCTCGCACAGGTGATAAGTTTTAAAGGTTATTTGTAAAAACAAATATAACACATGGACACAATGTTAACTATAATAAGCATTTATTTCTGTGCATGTTTTTAATCTTCGGTTGACTGACAGCTCATCTTGCTATTCCATGCTATATTGTGAACTTATTTCACATTTAAACCACACTGTACGGTTTCTCAAGTTAGAAGCTTGTAAATTACAAAGTCATAACCAAATATTTAATTTTTTCATGTATTCTTTAAAAAAATTAAAATATTTTGTCCTAATTTCCAAGTCTGTAAAATCTGAGAGATTTTAAAGAAATTTACAATCAAAAAGGATGGGAAATAAGAAGTGTACATAATTGAAGCATACAATAACTGAGAGAAAACATGACTTAATAATATGACCGAGACCAGCTCTTTAAAAATTATATTTGCTTCACACATCTGCCGTAAGGAAAAATACATACATATCACAGAGAAACACACATCTCCATCAGATTTTACAAAACAGGGTCTCTTTTCTTCTTAGCCCTCTCTTCCTACACAAACATGCTAGCTTGATAGTTTCATCAAATAATCAAGTACAGGATTTAATTTTGGCTTGCTATAGGCTATTCTATCAACTAAAATTGGGAGAGCTTTGTACATGTGAAAGGATACATTTTAATAACATTAAATACAAAAAAGGCATGTATAAAGAAAAGGTTTTGGAGAATTAGAAAGTATCCTTGGATTTTCTAGTAAACAGATTCATCCAAGGCCCGTGGGCAAGGGCAGATCAGCTATTATTAAAAAGTAGTGCATTTTAAAAATTCATGATGGCCTCAGAATCCCACCACTCAGATGCGCACATTCTGAATTTGTATGTATTGCAGTGCATTTTGTGTATTAAATAATATAAGGAATCCAGACGTTAATGAAACTTTTTAGGCAATCAGCAATTATTTTGGCATAACCTAAATCCATTTTGATTGAATTCACTTATTTCTGGGTACTTTCCATGTAGACATGAATAGATTCACATGAAATACTTACATATTAAAATTAATTTCATTGCTACAATTCATATTACAGTTGAAAGGACATTTACAAGTAAACAGGTAAAAGGATTCTTTTGCCCACTGAAATGACAGCATTACATTTTGTTTCGTTTTGACTTGACTACTAGTTATCATCTTCCCCACTACAAACTCTGCTCTGACTTCCACTTCGAATAGTGAAAGTATGAGTAAATCACTAAACATTTATATTAATTCCACAATCTAGCCTGGGCATTATGCAAATGTACTGAATTCACACAGCACAGCATGTCCATAAAACTCCCTGCTCGTGACATAAAACAGGGAAACCTTAAGTTCCTATAAGTGTCTTCATTTATCAAAACTCTATGGAAATTTTGATTGTGCTTCCCAATTCCAGAAAAAAATCCCTTAAGATAAACTCAGCCTAACTTTCATACAATATATGTAAGTATCTCCTTGCCAACTAAAATCATGTATACCTTCAAACATGCTATTTATGTTCTGAACTTAGTACAATTTCCTTCCCTATAGTAGCAGTTGACTAAGTATTGACTAAGATTGTTTTAAAAACTTCATGAAGTATGACCAATACTAAGGAACAATCTAAATGTGATTCAATAGATAACTTATAAAAAGAATACTTTACATGAAAGTCTTTTCACCGTCACATCTTAATTTTTTCTCTAGGTAAAAGAAAAGAATTCTGTAAATTTACTCTTAAATAGGGACACAGAATTCTTACAAGTTCCCTTTTAACCTCTCAGAGTCATATTTGTTATAGTGTAAAAGTCAACTAAAAAACCCTTAATATGAGTGTTAATGTAATTGTTCTACTTGATTGACTGATTGAATCAAGCTGGATTCCATACAGTTTCTTTAAGAATTTAATGGACTAACATCCATTGCATTCAATACATTCCAATTTCAACAGAAACTGTATCACATGTAATACTAATACTAAGATATGCACAAGTAAAATATGATTCTCCATTTTGCAATCCTGCAAAATCCAGAGTAACATGAATGTGTAAGAAGTAAAATTTACTGTCCTGGTGATTCATCGGTGTGAAAAAGGAATTCTGATTATTCATAAACAATTTTATTTTTAACTCAACTTCAAATTCAAAAGACTGTTTTATTTCAGTATCCTGAAGCACTCACAAAAATATCCTATTCATGATTAGCATATTCATACAGGTACTAGTATAATTCAATTTCTGGATTCTCTATACCATTTCTGGATTCTCTATACCCTTTAACTGACCAAGGATCACACCAAAATGCAATGTGCAACATTTCAAAAACCCATACTAATTAATACAAGCTAGTTTACTGACAATGTGCAAATAAACTTTATTGGAGAGCTTATATTGATTAGTGGTTTTCAGCTAAATCAGAATGGGGGCACAAAGTACCTTCTGTGCTGTAAACATCATGAATTCTTCACATAAGTGGAAGGTAAAAGGCCAAAAAGAGGGTGCAAACATTTCTTATACTATCAATGGCTGAACTCAAGTTTTCCAAAAAGAATTTGGAACAGTTCTGCATTTGGTATATGTCCACTCCACTGTCAAGCAGTTTCAAGGGAACATAATTTATAAAAGCATACTTTTACTTTTTAGTTTTAAAACACAAAGGCCTAATAAAAGCATGCAGCACTATTTTTCCTGTGTAATATGGTATAATTATTTAATTACCAGTGTTAGCATGACTTGGTGAGTGCTGTACAAGCAAAAGGGACTGTAAAATCACTTCTGATTGTACTCTATAAATAAAGTTGTACAGTACTTTCCCCTCCTCACCATGATTCACAATATCAAAACAGCAATTGTGTAGATTTAATTTACCCTGAAAAAAGCAGCATTTCAGATTACCCTTTTCTGTTCTTTGATTCCCCCTTTTTTCAGTAGTTTACAATCTGGAAACATAGGGAGCTCTTGTTTTCCAGCTTGCTGTAGCCAGATCAGCTCTGGTTCTTCACAGTTTGTCTGCATACCTGTAACACTTCACAAAGTAATTGTTCAATGCTTATAAAAATATATGTAAGGACTACTAACCAGCAAATGTAATTATGGGGGCTAGAACAACAGCAATCACTTGTTTTCCTGCATACATTCTTCAAAGAAAATCCATTTTGGATTCAGAATATCCTTTCACACTTTCTTACCACCATGGGATAAGAGAATATCTCCACAAGCTAATCTTTAGTGCAGCATGAATGAAAAGGAGATTTTTCTCTCAAAAATTGAAAATGACCGGCTGGCAAATACCTGGTAGAGAACTGAAAGATTCCCCCACATTTTCATCTATGGCTGAGATCTCAAAGCCTGTTTTAATACAAAGTAGACCTTTATAAATTCAGGCATACCGCGGCATTTCACATTGCTCACAACGATTCAGTGCTGGGTGATTCAAGAAAGTACAGCTGTCACAATTCCATGGAGCTCCTTCAAAGTCCTCATCTCTTGGCTGTGATCGCAGAACTTGCTTGGAACTATTTTGATGGTCTACAAAGAATCATTTTTCTTATAAAACATAATAATTTTAAATCTATAAATATCATAGGCCAATAATAACATTAGTATTAATATTTCATTTGGCCTTCATGTACTGTATAAGCACACTGTAAGGCCTGTTTGTTTTCACTACAATAATCGTTGTTGATTTCAGAGAGATTGACTGGTCTGAATTTTCTATACCAGAACGTGAACTAGAATCTGGGTCTCCAATACTATAAGTACATACCAAGTATAATATTTGAAAATAAATTCTGTTGTCCACGTGTTTTGGCCTCCAGTAAAAATATAGTAAGTTATGTGAGTTATACGTATTCTTTTCTGCCAAGTTTTGTCATTTGAGGTAGATAGTATGAGATCTACCAGACTGAATTTCAAAATCATTACTAAGATGTATTTTAACATCCCATACTAGAGTGGTGTCTAAGAAATAATGTGTTGCATTTGAACAATTTATTAATGTGGGTATGAAACATTCTTACTTTAGCCACGTAATAACTATTGAAAGCATAGTTATTTACCTATCAAGAATGATCCAGAACATTACTCTGACATGTTACTGAATTATATTAATTACCATGTCTTTAGGCTGATTTTGATTTAAAATTTTATTTTACACTCTAACAAAGTATTTACTATATTTCCCCCTAATTAATTAAAGATTTTGAAAATGCTACACAAAATAATGCTTGGAAAATCATGTATCTTCTGCAGAAGGGTGAACTATTCAACATTTATATATGCATAATTACTTTAGATTATATATAATGTACAGTCTCCATTCATTTGAACATAATCAGCAAACTGACTTATAGCAATTATATTTAATATATTTTAAACTGTATTATTTTTCTCTCCAAATATTATAGGTTGTACAATATGGCCACATGGCTACAATATTTATAATTCAGTAAATTACTATTTCTATAAATTCTACTCAAAAATAATGAGAGAAATGTGATGCATGAGATAGAGGACCTATAAAGCTATATATGGCATAAGGCTTAATGCCAGAATTGTAGCATCTGGATAACTAAGAGCCTGCTTGTCTGCCTGCCCAGTACATTTCCTGCCCAGTACATTTCAGCAGAGTAGGTGCACTCTAGGTTCCTTCCATTAACCGGTCATCTTGTGGGACATAGGAAGTGTGCCTTCTCTGTTGTGACCACCATCCTCTTCACAGCATCATCCCAGAGGTAAGGATGACATTCTCTCCTAGGATTCAGCAAAGATTTGAAAACCTAGCTTTGGTCCCAGGTCTGGATTTGATGTTTATTATTTGTTAAGGTCTCTGTTTTATTTTATTGTTTATCGGATTATTTATACAGGGCTGTCTATCTGATTTAATGTTATCAGTTGTTTTTTTATGTTTTTTCTAATTTTGTACGCTGCCCAGAGTCCATTAGATTTGGGTGGCCAATAAATTTGAATAAATAAATAATAGAACCAATCACCTAGGTTCTCACATTGCCAACTGTCCTGCTCTGCTATTCTGTTCTCCACACAAGTCCTAAAGCTAGATAAAGAGAATCCAAGAGAATATTCTAACTGCCAACATTACTTTCGCAAATTCATAAGGTAATTGGTGAAGTGTTATTTTGTGTGAAGCTTCTGTGGGATATAAATAATGGAAAGCATCATATATTTCTTGACATAATGCCTTTCTTTATAAAAATACTTGTCTATAAGAAACATATACATTTGATTTCCTTCCTTCTAATATAAGAATCCCTCTGCAAAAAAATACCAAAAACAAACTACATCCTGAACATTTGTGTAGTGACTCACCTTTTTTACATGGCTTTGGTGGTACAACAGGACCAGGCTCTATGTTATCATAAAAATTATTCATGGCTTTCAGGTCAAAGTTGCCTATTAATAAAAAGAAGAAAATAATGTATTTTGAACAGGACATATGTTTAAAAGGTAAAAGAAGTTACTGGTTAAGTGTGCTTTTGACCTGAAACAATACTGAAATGAAGCAAACAACAGTGTCTTAAAGTCATACAGCCTTGCTATTCTGGAAACTGACCATATATGATAAAGAATGCTTGCCAATTTGTCCCTTAAATGATATTGCCAGAATCAGTATTCCCAAATACATTTAAACTAAAGTATCAAAATAACACATCTAGTAAAAAGAAAATAGATCTGGTTATCTTTCTTTCTACAAATATAATAGGGAAAGACAATAATATTCCCAATACCTCTTAAATTCTTACATAAAGCTCCAAATCAATGCATTTCAGATACAGAAAATCATTGAAAACATCTACCTCTAGACTGAAGGAGGTCAATTTCTTTCTGAGTACAGTCTACATTTATCTGGAGCTGCCTATTCATGCTTCTCAATCTTGTCATCTCCTCGGGCTAGTAGAGAGAATCAAGAATAGAAAGTAAGTAAGCTGGCACATTCATTTAACTAAACTAAACACATAAATGCAGCCAACCAGAAGCCTATTCACAATTCTTTTAAATTCTCCCCACCTCTCCCATCCTTTTCCTTTATCAGAGGTGCATTCATAAATTGCAAAAAAGATGAGAATTAAAAGTATAGTCTACAGTTCCTCCTTACTGATAATATCACCTAATAAGAGAATGTATGTCCTTTAGAAAGATAGCTTTTGTGTCCATGTCAAAAAAAAAATCAATGCTCAATGTAGAAGCAAAGAATTCCAAGAGCCACGAACTGGAAAAGGGCAGATTAATTAATAGTCTCCTTATCAAATTGAAAATGACTGTTTTCAATATTTTGTCTACTGATTTATATGTTAAAATGTATGCATTCTTATTAATACCTATAGGCAGTCCTCAGGTTACAATGGCAATTGGGTCTTGAGTTTCCATTGTTAAGCAATGTGGTACAACTCCAAGCTCACATGAGCAGGTAGGCCAGCCTGGGTTGTAGGTGGTGTAAACAGGTTGTTGGTGGCAGGCTCTTTGGAACATGGGCAGGTTGGAAGAGGTCATATATAGGCCATTGGGGGTCATAGGCAGGTACTATGGAGCTCACCATGTTCTGCGGAGCTGGACTCGAACTGCCGGAATGCTGGCAATTGTTCAGCTCATCCAGCGTCATTAAGCCTCTATGCCACCACGTTCCCTTTTGGGGCAAATAATAATCTTCTATCGGAACTTCAACTCAAGGTATTATTTTAGGATAGAGAAGGAATTTAAGAAATATAAAAGTATTACAGAACTAAGAAACTAGAACATGCAAGCATATAATTTTGAAAGACCAAGAAAACACTGATTCTCAATCAATGCCTTGCCAAAGATCACAACAGTTACGATGCCTTAAGTTTTAGAATATTGTTTGTAATGAGGGTTTCCTACTTTTACCTGAAGCAACAACATACTGCTGACATGCCTTTTCAGAACAACTCCAAACCAACAACAAACGCCTGAGATAGTATTACAGAATTTGGAAGAGGTGGTAAAGCTTATGAGGCAACTAAGAGAACACATTGTACCTAGCTGCTGAAACAACTCAACTGAGACTTACATATTGGATGAAAAGTGATGAATTTAAAATATAGTGAATCATTCATACTGTCAGTAAAGAACAATTTTATTTTAATATAATTATAGAAAAATTGCTTACTGTTGGGATTGAGGTTGTACAGCTGACTCTTCTCAGACGCCTTTGCATAAGATCATGTTCCATATTATTTACTTCACCTTTAAGTTTCTCAAGTTCTTCATTCTCAAAGTTCAGCTCCTTTGCTAACCTCTCCATCCTTGCACGTTGATGTAATAGCAAAGCTAATGCATTATAGAGAATAATATGCATAAAATTGAGAAATCCAGCTTGTAACTACAGTACAAATGACCTTTTCAAAACAGAAGCAAACATAAACATGCAATCAAATGCTGGGGTACAAATACTTCATGAGAAAGGAACAAGAGCTGTAGACATAATATTCCTCCATAAGGAAGTTCATTATTTCACATACTCATGAAGATAATCACTTAACAATGCTAAACTGGGATCTGAATTTTGATCAATAAGTAATGCTATTGTAAAGTGTGACATCACATGACTGTACTGCTTAGTGATAGCAGTTCCAAAAGTCACCAGTTAAACAAATCACTGTGGGTCATTAGGTGAGGGCTTTCCCTAACTGTGAATTCAGACTTCCTGATAGCTTCCTCATTGACTTTGCTCGTGGAAAGCCATAAAGGAAGATTGCAGACCACAATCACATGATTGAAGGATGCTGCAATGGTCAGAAATGTGTCTGGTTGCCAAGCACTCGCCTCACAACCATATGAACGCAGGAGCGTAGCAACAGCATGAACTTGGAGGACTTGTCTTAAGTACTGTCTGTTCAGAACCACCATAAGTTTGATTGCTGAAAGAATGGTTGTTAACCAAGGGCCACCTATATTATCAGTTCAGGGACCTGGCTCATTTTTGTTCATTAGCCTTTCACTAATGAAGAATTAGATGTATATGAAGAAACCTTAGTCGCTGATCTACAATGTACTCTGAAATACTCTTGACTGATAAATACCACCTATTAAAGGAATGTTACATTATGTCCTTTAGAAAAACAGCTTTCTTTCCAGATCACAAAATCAGTGGCTCAGGATAAATCCAAGGAATTCCAATAACCAGAAACTGGAGCAAGGTAAATTAATAACAACAACCGATTGTACAGCTTATTTGACTGCTTTATCTTTTGTTTTAGAATAAAGGTTCAACCTTGAATCTTAACCATTTTCTTCATTAATGAATCTTCAATTTTTCCCTTTGGGGAAAAAAAGGAGTTAGGTACCTAAAAATATAAGGTACTTATTGAAGAAAGCTCACTACAAAGTGAAAAACAGACATTTGTGAGATATTCTTATTCTGGGTTTTTTTCCAATTCAGTTTATACTTATATAGCCTACTATATAGCAGAAGGTGTCCTATTCTTCCACCTTCTACTTTAATGAACTAATGTCTGCTTTTCCATAGCCATACTTCTCTTTGTGCCTTCAAGTCAGTGTTGACTCCTGGTAATTGCCTGGACTAGTACCTCAAAATATTAAATAATTCAAATAAGTACAAAAAAACTTAAATAAATATTGCAATTTATACTGATAAATCTCAAGCTGTATCGAAGATTAAAACAATTAATTTCTACCGATATGTTGTTGTTTTTAAAAAACCCTCTACACTGGTTATTTTATGCTTCCTTTATCTGAAATATGTAATGGTATGTTAGTTTTATACAGTCAGATTTTTTAGGGTACCATTTAGTTATGTCATATTACAAGACAGTCCCATTTCTAGTTCATTTCTGTGCTATTAAGTGGTACACAATATTTTTGCAATATAATGTATTATGCTATGTTATGCTAGGCTAAGCTAGGTTAAGTTATCTTACTTTAATCACCATATCACACAGCAGGCCCACCTTATCACCGTTTTTACTGCTGCAGAATTCAAAGTGGTAAATGAAAGAAGTATATTTCTTTCATCTTGAGAAAAAATCACAGGCATGATTTTATTAACCTATCCATATTAACTTATACATTCGGAGATATATTTGTATTTAGGGACGTAGCTATTTAAGATGAACCACAGCCCAAATTATTTGATTCTTAGGAAACATTTTGAGAATTTAATTAAGCAAAAAGCTTAGCGACCTTACCTTGAGTATAAGCATAGTCATCTGATCCAGAGCTGGAACTTCTCTGGTATTTATGCCTTCCTCTTTCGCCTCTAGATCCTGGTACAACTGAAATGGGCTGGATAGGTTCTGGTGCTGCAGAATGTTCTTCTTGGTCCACTAAATTTAGAAGATTCTCAGCAGGAGCTCGACCTACTGTGATTTTAAAAACTGCTGGATTTGGCTGAGATACCATTACACGGGGGGATTGTGTAAGAATACCTGAAGGTCCAACTGGTTGTGTATATGTTATATATACAGGATTAACACTATAAGGAAGTTTAGGCTGACCTGCTATACTTCTGGAAGGAGAACCTGAAGGAGTTGCAGGTGTATATAGTGGGTGCTGATTCCGTTGGGATGGCTGATTACTTATAGGTGAAGGGCTCCTATTAAGTGTAGTCCCAGGTCTTTGTGGTGGTTCAACCGTAATTTCTATCTTGTTCATGGAGCCTTTAGATAAAGTAGGTCCACCATATGGGAGATAAGATACTGAGTGTCCACTTGATTTTTGATATGACTGTGGTGTTTGTTGATATGGATGGGGTAGCACAGTTGAAGGACTAGGAGGCATAAATACATGGGAACTTTGATGTCCTAATTGGCTGGGTTGAACTTGATGTTGAGGCGATCCAAAAGGAGAAGGGCACTGAGAAGCAGGTGGTGATCGAAAAGGAGACTGAGGAATCTGGGGCTGCTTGGGAGAATACTGAGAAGGCTGATAGCTCTGTTGGTGTGGATAGACAGGTAATGGATGTGGACTATAATGTGGAACTGGACCTGGTGGTGGTGAATGCCACTGTGTACTTTGAGTAGGAGTCTGTCGTCCTGAAGAACCTTGAGTTGTCTGCCTAATATACAGTGATCCAGGACTTCCATAAGGAGTACTTTGAATTTGAGGAAGAATTTGTAAAGCTCTCGGTAAAGGCTGCCCAGAAGGGAGGTTTTGTGAAACTGTAACAGTTATAGGATTTGTGCTGTACCGAGGTATATGCATATATGGAGGAGGAGGAGGACCTTGCATAGCAGATGTATTCATTCCAGGCTGTATGGGAGAAGACTGCTGAGGTGTCTGTGGAGGAGGAGTAGCTGCATTTCTATTCTGATCATTCATAAAAAAAGGATTATAGTTTGGAGAAGCTGCAACAACAGCAGGAGCAGAATGTGGTTCTTGGACTAAACAGATCAGCTGTTTGCCTGGAGTGCACTGTGGATCAATATGTCCATCACTTGAACTATGTACCAGTGTACGACCACCATTAAGTTGAGATCCATCTCCTCCATAGTTAGTATGAGGATGGATGCCAAGGTTAATATGCAAAAGACGATTCCTGTTCACTCGGGTGTCATCTGGGCTGTGATATTCCATATATAGGTATTTGTTGCTCTCTTGTGCAAGAATTCGACAACAAGCATCAAGATTGTTGTTGTTCTAGAAGAAATAATACATGCTGGTGTTCTACATTATGGAGCAAGTTTTAGAAACTATAGTACAACAATCTATCTTACTCTTCAATATTATATTTGTTAAGGTTGTTACTTTAAGTTATAACTTAAACTTGTAATTTTGATTAACTTAAATTTGCTTAGGTAGAGTCATATATAAATAAATCTTCCAAGATGTAAGAGATCTTCCACAAACATTACAAGCATTATTTGTCAATCACCATCTAGATAAACTTTCTTACAGCCTTGAAATATATGCAGCTACAAAATATCTCATTAATTCTTCTTAAAAGTTTTGTAAAACAGGTGTTACTTCTCCAAACCTTGTTAGCTAAAAAGCTTCCCCAAAACCAGAATATATAATTTGTGTTATTCAATGAATGAACTAGAATGTTACCTACTCCTTCTACTACAGCTTGGGATAAATAGGAAAGCAGATATGGGAGATGTACGTGGAAACTGAAATAATTAAGGCTTGAGTTTTCTAACAGAATAATTCTTTTCCCACTGGGAATTTTGTATTCTGCACACAGTATTCCATTTCATAAATGTAAATGAAACTAATAGTGCAATGGAAGAAAATAAATTGTATAGGAAGAAAATATAGGATGGAAAATACTTTCAAGAACAAAAGCTGAACGTATCAAGGTGCTTCTACCAATCTTGAAGATTTAGAACTTAAGAATGAATTTATCCCCACTGATTTTGGTAGGATATAAATTTCTAGCTATGCCCATGCTATTTAGTTATACTTTTATTTTTAATTAAATTGAGCCTAATCGAATTATTTGTAAAAGAAAAAAAAAGAAAGGGAGAAGAAGGAAACTGTTTTCTAAAAGTATAACAAGATTAATGAAAATTGGCTAAAATAACCAACTTTGACTATATTCGTTCTTATTCTCATCTCCTATAATCCACTGTCCCAGTTTTTTCCATATTCTTTTTGTTCCTGAAAAGTTATCCTTGGATCTTGTTAGGTTACCCTTATCTACTACTTCAAAGAGAAACTAATGTTGGTTCAACCAACACCTACCTGGAGCATGCACTGAGACACCACACTTTCAGGAATCTCAGGAAAACGTTGCCGGAGGTCATGGAGTACCTGCATATCTAACTGCTGGCTTCCCTGAGCCATGCCAGATTAATGTTAAATTTCGGGACTTTCAGGAAATAGCAGTCAATAAACTTTCCAGCAATTATGATCTTTGGATGCTTCATACATCTTCTACAAAAAAAAGATAATAAAATGAGAAACAACGTAATAAATAAAAATGATACAGAATACAGAATAGTATACTAACACTTCACCTCAACCTAGTTTATAAAATCTTATCCACATTTAATGCCACAATGAATACCCATAAATACACACACCTAAAGTGAATGTTTACAATTCTCACAACAAGATTACATTTAAAGATTTTTTTTTTCCCTTTTAGCCTCAAAAAAGGGTTGACACTCACTTTCTGACCATGTAATCCCTTAATGCAGGGCAGAGAGACATCTGGGTGGACACTAAATTCTCATATTATACTTCTTTTAGCATGAACATTTGAACCAGACTTCTCTTTACATCCATGATTCAAAACTAATAAGGATAAAAGGTTTTATTTTTCTGAAGATGCCAACCACAGTTGTTGGCATAACGTTAGGAAATCTGTTCTCTAGATTGTGGTCACTAAAACCTGAAGCCCAACACTGTCAACAACTACATAATATTTTAATGCAGATTCTTTCCAGACAATAATCTGTGTCTCATATCAACGTGCAATGTTTTGACTATCAGAAAGATAAACATCAATAAATAGTTCTTGAATTAACCTTCATCAATGTTCAAATGTGGAATTTTACAACAATATTGCAATTATCATCTTATAGGAAAACCATCGCAAAGTATCTGGTTTTCAAGTCCAGTAGTATAAAAATATGTATAACTGATTAAGATAGCAATTTAAATACAAAGAGATCTAAGCATACAAATATTATCTATGATTGAGATCATGAACATAGTATCTGTAGGCACTATTTTGCCTTATACAAATGAATGGAGAAATTTTCCATCTTCATACATTTATTTCGATAGTAGAGGGAGACAGGAAAGAAAAAAGAAATCCTATGCCCCCAAACTCAGATCACAGGTTTTTAGGCCATTTCTGCTGTTGTTGAGCACAACAACCTTTTTCTACCCTTCTGAGAGAGAAAAAATGACCCACTACCATTGCAAAGAACTTATTACCTTGGAGAATCTTGGTAATTCATAATTTTCATCACCCTACTTTTTATGCCCTATTCAAAGCCATGGAGTATATCACTTAACTGAATAGGAAGAAAGAAATATCTCCTCTGAAAAAAACCTAGATCTATAAAGATGGTCATTCATACCACCAAAGACTTTAAAAGATTCTACATACCAGCTGTTTTTCAACATGTATGATAATTCAATTAATCATATAATTTATTGTATTGTATGTATTTATGTATTGTATGATTAATTGTATGATTATACAATTATTAATTTTAATCCAAATTAAGCCATTTTAGTACATTATTAAGTGACAGAAGGATGCTCTGTGCAAAAAACAGCATATAAAGGAAGCTAATAAATTTCAATAAATAAAAATAAGATATGTAGAATAAAAATGCTTCCAATTATTTGAAAGAAGTTATTCCTGTATGTACACACATACAGCTCTCTAAAATCAACCTTCTCAGAATGCAAAACAAAGTATGTTAATTGGTCTTCACTGTAACCCCCTAAAAATGGAAGGATGCATTGCTTTCCTATGAGTTACACTACAAATCAGAAGGCTTATAAAGGGCTTGCCATTGACCAGTTAATAGGTACTATTAAATCTCCCTGCTTGCCAGTAATTCTTTGCTAAAAAAGAAAAACAACAACAAATGACACAGGGCTAAAGTAGTACATACAAAAAAGGTAATTAGAAGATTATTTAGTTTAAGGAAGGCTATATTTTAAAGAAATGTCAGGCTGAACATTTTATCGTGTTTAATTCTTTCTACAAATAATTTTCTGTTCTGTAAATTAATTGTCAATAATAAGCTGCAAATTGCAAATGCAAGCTGAATGGATTAACATTGTTAAACTATTATCTTTGGTAAATATGTAAAAGAAAATAATGTTATCAATCTGAAAATTTCCTAATCAAACTGGAAATATTAATATGTAAATTTCTTTTTATATAGTGCCTTAATTTACATAAAAGTTTCCACACCTTTTTCCTCAAAAAAAATCAACATTATTCTTAATTAGCACTATCACTCTATGTATTTCTGGAGGATACTAAACTTCCACTATAATTTTTACATTGGGTATTGCCTCATAAATCCATAACCATACAGGTACTAACTGTCATTTATGGGATATTTCCAGTACAGTGATCACCATTAATAATTCTCTATGAAATAGGTTAAGATGCTAGCAAATAAATTTAATGGCTCATTAATTTGGCACTACAGAATCAGCCATTAGAATATGTTTATAAAGCTAAAATAAAGTTATTCCCTATCCCTAATTTGCTTTGCAAGTGTTGGTGTGGTTATATGTATGTGTCTCTGTGTAAAAGACACAAAAGAATAAATTTGTTTAATCTACAAGAACAGCTAAGCAGTCCTTGATTTTCAAATTTATTTAGTGACCGTTCGAAGTTACAATGGCACTGACAAAAATGACTTGTGACAATTTTTCACACTTACAACTGTAGCATCATGGTCACATGATCAAAATTCAGGTGCTTGGCAACTGACTCATATTTATGATGGTTGCGGGTGTCCCAGGGTCATGTGATCACCTTTTGCAACTTTCTGACAAGCAAAGTTAATGGGGAAAACAGATACACTTAAGAACCATGTTACTAACTTAATAACTGCAGTGATTCGCTTAACAAATGTGGCAAGAAAGCTCGTAAAATGGAGCAAAATTCACTTAACAAATGTCTCACATAGCAACATAATTTTTTGGCTCAATTATGGTGATAAGTCGAAGACTATCTGTATTATTAATGCCAATGTTGGATCTAATTATAAAACCTAGCACCGTAATCACTATCAACCAAGTGCTCCAAGTTATTACAGAAGCACTTTGATCACTCCTTTTATCCCAGCATCTGAATGCTGCAGATATACTATTTCTGAACATAAGGGGTCTATGACTTGATATTAATAGTCATTGATAAATCTATTGAATTTACATAATATCCAATGGTATTTACTGAAAGTTCTTTTTTAAAAAACTGCCTGTTGTTCCAATATCATTACATCTGGTGAAGGAATAACATTACCATGTCAATACATTCCCACTATAAAATACAGTTATCATTCCAGCTAGCATTTGCTTAAATGTCAGTATAATATTTTGTGCCTTGACTTCTGGTGATTGCATGAATAAATCCATGCCGTTTTCTTGGCAATATTTTGGAAGTGGTGCACCATTGTCTTTTACTGGAGCCTTTAAAAAGGTGACTGGCCCCAAGTTACCAAGCTTCATGCCTAAAGCAACTCATGTTTTCCTGGTTTTATAGCCTTGTTTTATAGCCTGATACCTTAACCAAACTAATTCTCAAATGTCAAATACGCACATTTTAATATCTTACCATAAAAAACAAATATCATAACGCAGGATTTTTATTTGTCTGCCAGTCTTGTTTTATAAAATACTATTTAAGAAAAGAAGGAAATAAATATTTTTCAAGACAAGAACTAGTCTATTAAGAAAACACTGAAAATAATGCATATTGTTTTCCTATTTAAACATTTTATGTAAAAAAAACAGTATTACTACAGTAGGAAGTTAGCATTACCTGTTTAATTTCTACTCTCATCATATATAAAGAGCATAAATATGTAGGACTAGATAAAGTTTTTACATAGTTCTGTTGCAAAGCTTAAGATGAAAAAGACCCCCAAAACTACACAGACTGCCCTCTGTGGTGGAACAGGTTCTCTGTACACTCAGTTCCTCATGCAGTAAGGTTACCATGCTGTTTTTAATTATATCAGAATACATAATTAGGAATAAGACCTAGAATACCACAAATATAAAGGTATTACAAAAACATTTTTATAATCTACTCTGGATTGGCATGCTCTAGCAAACAATAAAGGAATAAAATAATCAAAATTATTTAGAATTCAGCAAAAATATAAATATACTGCAAACCTTGCTCTCACTTGTGATCTCTATTTCCAAAGCTGCCAAATCAAAGCAGCAGCATCATACTGCAGTGACCATGCTGAGAGCACATTTCGAAGGAAGCAGCAGCAATTAAACTTGCAAATACTTACAACAGTTTCAATGCTTTAGTGGTGGCATTATCACACCTCTATTACACAAATGCATGGATAATAGGTGTGCCCTATCTAAGCAACCCAAACTCCAAAAAACGGCCAAAAGTTTAGAAATATGTATAGATGTGGAAAGAAGTGCACAGTTCTCACAGCCTTCTTAAAGTTTTGCCTTTCTATCCAACTGAAATGCTGTAATGGGTTGAGAACCAGATCCCAAAAGATCCAGTCCAAGAAAACTATTCTAAAGTGAGGGTGGCTGCAAGCGGGATAAATCATATGACTCTTTAATACTGACCCTTAATTATAGGCCTCAAGGAGTAATTCTCTACCAATCATCTGGCTTGGTTAAAGCTGATCCTTCTTATACAACCAGTACCTCTCTAGAAAAACCAGCATTGGAATGATTTGTAAAACTAGTAGATGAAGTTGATCATTTTCTTTCGTTAATAACACCCTTAATACGCCTCTCCATACAAGATTTTAACGCAGGGTTGTTACTTTTGTGCTACAGCTGCCTTTTCTTGCGTGTGTACGCTTTTGTGCATAGGGGTGTGCACCTCCCCCCCCTTCAGATCACAACATAATCCCGCCCTGACTGTTACCACAACTCCTCCCCCCAAAAGCCCACCGCTTTGACCTCTCCTGGACACCTCCCACTTAACAGGCGCCCAGCCAGCCACAGCGCCCCCCCTTCCTTCCCCTCCGCTTGTCAAGCTCTGCCAACAACCCGCTCGTTACGTGCGCGCCAGCGCGCGCGCGCTGCACAGGCGGACAGACCCATGCCGAACTCTCCCCGGGGCCTTCGCCCTCTCACCGCTCGCGGGGGGGCCGCTTCCAGCACAATCATCTCGCGATTCCCATCCAGTCGGCCCCCTT